CTCCTGGCCTTGGGTACCCCGCTTAGCTGGAAGAAGACACATTTGGCGGAGGTCAACACGTGGCTGGGCTTCGTGGTCCACCCGAACATCCCGCAGGTTCTCATGGCCGCCAACAAACACATCCATGGTGATGGAGGTCTTGCAGACCATGGTGGAAGGGCAGGCGATGCACTCAAAGGACATCGAGAAGGCCCTGGGCCGCATCCAATGGGCAACTGCTGCATGTCCGTTGGCGAAGTCGATGCTTCAGCCACTTTGGGCCTGGAAGATGGCCACCACCACGGTGGGGAAACCCCCCAAGGTGGTCAGGATGCTGGCGTTCATGCTGCGGTTCCTCTTCAACACGCCCTTCGTCCAGTACTCCCCTTACTTGCCGAAGTCCTCTTGGTGGGGTTGCAGCGATGCTAGCGCCTCGGACGAAGGACTGGCATTTGTGGGAGGATGGTGCTCCAATAAAATGGAGCCAGAAAAGAAGGAGGTGTACTGGTTCCACGAGCAGATCCACGTGGAAGAGTACCCGTGGGCATTCAAGAATGGGGATCCCAAGCGGAGGAAATCCTCTGTAACATGATCCTCACGCACCAAGGCCCTCTGTCCTCCCGGGTCCGACTCCCGGTGGGCAGTGACAATCAGGGCAACGTCATGGCGATGCTCAACCTTGGATCCAAGAAGCCCTGCACCGCTTCCTGCTCCACACCCATGGCTGCTCGCTGGCGGCCAACCACGTGCCCCGGGAATTCAACCAGTGGGCTGATGAGCTGACGCACCCAGATTTCTCTGGGTTCGACCCTTTGCACAGGGTCCCCAAACAGGAACTCTGCGAGGAGTTCGTTTTTCTCCCGCGTCTCCTGAATGGAGATGCATTTGATCTTAGCGTGGGCCCACCCATGCTCCCGTGACCGGAGCCGGTGGGTGACTCACTTCCCCTGGTGGCAGACCCCCCTGTGGCCTGGGTGCCCCGGGCCCCGGCTCAGGGGCGGGCGCTATCAGTCTGCACACCCGTTCTTCAGTTTTTGAGAGTTTGTGGTGGGTGGCCCATGGGGCCCACCCAGCCGTTGACATCTGACAGGGGAAGATGAGTCCCTGGCACCAACACATTGCTTGGATAAAAGAGTTATCGCATGCTTGTGTGGTGCCGTTTGGTTAGCTTACATACACCTAAAGCAAAATGAGGTCAGTCACACACTTCGCATCCAATCCGTACGCTGAATAGGACTGAACCGTTGTGAGGGGTAAACCTGTGCTTCCGCCTCTGTAGAACCCAGACGGGTGTGGTGCTGTTGGGTATATCACCTGAGCTTAACTTTCCGGTTCGTAGAGCTTGTTCAGATTCTTTGTCGGCGCAAGCTATGGGTGAGACAAGGGCAATTAGGACTCTCAACTACCTCTAAACTGGCTTCCAATCGACCACGTCCAGGCAAACATAAACTCATGTGCCAGTCTGGTTGGTGATATGGTGTCAAGACGTTTGGCTCTTCGCTCTGCGTATGATGACCGCACGGTTGCAGAAAACATTGGCCCCGGGCCCGGAACTGAGCTTTGATCATGCAAGAGGCTTTGCGTCCAAGCCTGTCCCAACATGTGAGCATGACGGCATTGGCCAAGCCTGAGGCTGGAGGGACTGCGCTGAAACATGGCGCGCGCCGCGCAGACACCCGTGGCGCTGCAAGTAGCCAGCGCGTGCCTCACGTAGCTTTGCTTGGACCTGTAAGCGGTGAGCTTCATGCTCCGGGTGCAACAGGCTTCATGCCCGGGCAGCTCTTTCGCACGCGGTGAGCCTGCTGCCAAAGGCTGTTTGTGATTGCGCCGCACGGATGTTTGCTGCCCGCATCATGTTCGTTGGCTAGCGAAAAGATCTTGAACAAAACACAGTTGACTAGCGAAGCTGTGCCCGGACCCTGCAAGCGCCTGTGACCAGACCAGGCTGGTATAGACCCGAGCCTCGACCGTTTGAACGGAACGGGCTCTTGCCAACCGCACCTGCGTGTTGGCGGTTGGTGGCCGTAAACACCTCCAACAATGTCCAGGGCTTGATCAACGAGCTTCATAGTGTCGCGAGAGTCTTATATGGTTGGCACCACTCCCTGTACAGCAGGTTCCATGGCCGCTCCAGCGATCTTGTTTGGTAGCTGTTTGGACTTGCAAGCGAGAAGACCAATCCAATTTGCACCCTTGGCGCTCCGTGCAGGCAAAAGCCATGTGGGGCTCGATGAGGCCGCCTAACGCTCGCAGGACTGTGCTTCAACGTGGCACGAACCACACAAGCAGGTGAGTTCGATCGCTTGAATATCATGGCAACGCAGTTTCAGAAAACATTGGCCCCCAAACTGAGCTTTTGCGTTCAGCCCGTCCCAACACTTGAGCGTTACGGTGTTGACTCGTAGTCAGCCGAGCAAGCCAGATGCTGGCAGGACTGTTAAGTAAACATGACACGACCGCACAGACACCTCTGCAAGTGGCCAGAGCGTGCCTCACGTAGCGTTTCCATCGAGTGTGAGACAAGGCAATTGCGTTCACGGCTCAGACTATCAATGAGTGCGACAGGCTCCATGCCAAGGCAGCGTTTTCTCATGCGGCGAGTCTTCTGCCAAAGGCTGTTTGTGATGCGCTTGCATGTCTGGTGGTCGATGCCGCACGGATGTTTGCTGGGCAGGAGGTAATCTGCCCGCATCATGTTCTCAGTGCAAAAGGACGCAAGAGGAAATTCATCAAGGGGAACCCTTTCCGGTTGCTGGTGTCAAAAGCTCACCACACGCATGTCTGCAGCCAGGAGGTTATGGGCGTTTGCCATATTATTTGCTATTGGCAAGGACTCACTGCAAACCCCAGCGATAAAACATCCATTTTGTCAAGCCTTTGGGTTGCAGCTGTCCAGGGCTCGCTTGATGATGTCGCTGGAGCTTTACACGGTAACTCTCCTTGTGCAGCAGGTTCCATGCGCGACCCAGTGCTCTTGTTCTGTCATCTTCCTTAGGCGTAGCTAATGCGCCTGACTGGACCCTGCTTCCTGCCCTGAGTAGATTTGTTGGTGGCTGTTTGGACTGCGTGTTCAAGCATAAAGCACGCACGCCCACGCAGTTTTTCCCAATATAACCCCAAAAACCTACTATGCCCCGACAGGGCCCATGGGGCCCAGGCCCCAATAGCTCCCACGGCCCAAGCAAGGGTTTCAGCAAAACATGTGCAATGCAATTTGCCAATGTTGTTGATTCAGGCCAGCTAAATCATTACTTGAGCGTTGGGTGGTGTGGGCAAAACGAGAAGTGCGACATTTTGATGGCTCATTCAAATCGAGTTTGCACCTTGTGCAGGAAAAAGGCCCGACGAGGCCCAGCGCCCAATAGGTGCCTAAAGCTGCCCAATAAGATCCAATAGTGTGCTTGACTGGGTAAGCCTGCCGTGGACCCTGCTCCCATGGCTCATTCAAATCGAATTTGCACCCTGTGCAAGCAAAAGGCAAGGATGGCAGCTGGTGCCGCCTGGGTGCCGGCAGTGCAGGTGATTAGTGCGCCCTGTTTGTGCTATTGGAAATGACTTCAAACCAAGACATCGTTCTGTAATGCCAAGTGAGTTTGCTGCTGTCGATGGCTTGATCAACGAGCTTCATGCGGTTGGCGTTTCGCATGTTTGGCAACACTCCTTGCACAGCAGGCTGAACACTCGAGCAGCGTGCTTTCGTGCGGCCAGCTTTCATTTTTGGCCCAACTCGTTGCCCGTGCAGCCCAGGGCTTGCGCGGACTTTCCTTCCTACCCTGTGTGTTTCCAGTCTTGGTGGCTGTTCCGTGTTCGTTTGCAAGCAAGGCAGCTGGCGCCGCCCGGGTGTCTGCAGCGCAGGTAATGATCAGCGCGCCCTGTTTGTGCCATTTGAAGCAACTCTAAACCAAGAATTTGTTCCGTAATGCCAGGAGACTTTGTGCGAGAAGAGCCACGCAGATAGCGCCAGTGACCAGAGGGTGGCATAGACACAAGCTTGGTCCGTTTGAAAGGAGTATGCGCTTGCCAGGCACGACTGCATTTTGACGGTTGGCGCGTGCCAGTTGTGTCATGGCTGGTGGGACATCTATCCTTTCTTGGCCCCTCTATTCTCAGACATATCGTTCGGGAAGGGCCAAAGAGCGTAGACGGCAGCAGGGGTCGCCGCTATTGAATGCGATTAGACAACAGATGCCAAGCGCGGATGTTTGGGCTTCTTCTTCGCGATGTGTTGGAACAAAGAGTGAAGGAACGCTGTGTCCATGAGCAAACCAATGGCAAGCGGCCCATGTTCGGGGGTTCCGTCTTTTGAGAAAGGCTTCCCACAGCTTGGGGCCATTGATTGCCAGTTCGGGGCTTGAATCTTCGAGGCATCGCCCAGGGCCATGGCCCGGGGTTGAGCAACGAGCTTCAGGATGTGGGTTGGCAAGCTAGCTTGGTCAAAAGCTAGTTCCAAAAAAATAGGCCGGCTGCGGTTTTTGGATTAGATTACGCGGTTTGCGGGTTACGGATTGTGGGATGCGTGGCTTTTCCATGCTCCAACATGCGGTATCAACCCACAAATTGCAGCGCAGCTTGCGGATTAAGAGTGGATTACGGATTGTGATTAGGCTCCTGGGATGTCGAACAGGCTAGGCACCACTCCCTGAAATTACAGCTGCAGCGGGTTCCATGTCCGGTCCAGCGCTCTTGTTCTGCCATTGAATTCCCTTCGGCTCAACTGATGTGCCTGACTGGACCCTTCCTTCGGAGTTTGGGCTGTATGTACTGCATGTGCAAGCGAGAAGCACGGCGGCTGACATTTCGCCATGTTCGCGGGGGTGTGTTGATTGTTTGACTCGGTTCATTTGGCTGTGGGTCAAAACCAATTTTGACCCATGGCCATTTCACGTTCGGTGGAACAATCGAATTAGAATTTCCGCCGAATCCGGCGCTCTGGCTGGCCTGAAACAAACTTAAAATATTTTGGAAGACGATGTGTTCAACCCTTGTGCGCTGCAAGTTCGTCATTTTGTGGTTGGCCACAGGACTCGGGGCCTGAGGAAAGAGAGCGAGGCGCGGAATGTTGTTCTCCTGGGACGGAGTTCGGATGCTGATTCGATTTGTCGTTTTGATTCGTTTGAAACAGAAAACAGCTCCGGGCAGCATGTCCAGCAGTCTGTAGCTGTGACCTTTTGAGGGTTTGATCTTTGAGGTGTCGCATCTTGTGGCTTCCCCCACTTTAGGACACACGCATGCATGGTCTTTTGTGAAGAGAAGGGGGAACCAGCCACGCCGCATTTCTTCTCAACTTGCCTTCATATTTTTGGTCGGGCCCCCCATCCATGAATCAGACTTGAACATTTTGCAGCAGCAACAAATGGTTGGGTCACAACGGCACTTTTGTACGAGAACACAACCCAGAAGGCTTTGGGTTTTGCCTTTCAGCATTCAATCAGGGGGTAGAACTCATTCCCCAAATAGTGTTTCCACTAAGAGGTTCTTACGGTAAGGTTCGCGCTCAAGGTTCGTGTGGCCCTGTGCGTAAAAAGTTGTCTTCGGTGCGACAGTCTCGCGCGAGATAGGTTCGCGCTGCGTGCACGTGCGTCTGGCTGTGGTGCCGTTCACTTTTTTTTTGGCCGGCAGGGGCCACAGTTAGGGGAAGCGTTTTTTGGAGAGCAAAGTGTGTTTTTTGGCAGGGCCGCCACGCGGTGCTAAAGCCGTGGCAGTTGTCGCAAAAAGCTGTCTTCCGTGCGAAAGCTTCGCATGAAACGGACCTTTCTTCAAAACTGCGTTCTCTCCGTGGCGCCACGCCGATTTTCGGATTTGTGTATTGCTGCAGAATTCCATGGCCAGCGCAGCATTCTGTGAGACTGCCGTGCGTTTTTTCGTGGTGGGCGCAGAATGTTCTGCGCTGATGCTATAGGATGCGTGGCAGGCGCAGTATTGTCACAAACAGGGTCTGTGAATTTCGTGGCAGGCGCAGCGTTTCAGTCATCTGCAAGCGTTGCGAGACGAAAGCGAACCCTTTGCGGAGATCGTGCGCGTCGAAGCGCTCTCGCTGTGGCGCCGTGCGAGTTTGTCTTGAGCTCGGCAAACCCTCCTCGGAGATATTGTGGGTGTCGAAGCGCTCACGGTGCGAGTGCGGCTTGAACCCTCTGTGGAGATTGTGCGTGTTGAAGAACTCTCGCAGTGGCGCCGTGCGAATTTGTCTTGCTCGTGGTGAACCCTCAGCGGAGATCCTGCGTGTCGAAGCGCTCTCGCCGTGGCGCCGTGCGAATTTGTCTTGGGCTTGGCAAACCCTCTGCGGAGATTTTGCGTGTCTGCGCGCTGTCGCTGTGGTGCCGTCAGAATTTTGCGGAGATTGCGCGCGTCGAAGCGCTTTCGCCGTGGCGCCGTGCGAGTTTGTCTTGAGCTTGGCGAACCCTCTGCGGAGATCCTGCGTGTCGAAGCTCTCGCTGTGGTGCTGCGCGGGTGCGTCTTGCTCTCGGCGAACCCGAAGCGCTCTCGCTGTGGCGCCGTCTGATTTTTCTGTTTTCCTGGCTTGCCGAATCGCGTCTGCTTTCGCGATCACGCCTTTCTCGGGGTCCACCTGCCTGGTCCGCGGCAGCTCCGGATTGAAAATCGCAAATTTAATTGCGAAAGTAGCGCGCAAAGAGCAGATCCAGAGCTCCAATATCGCAGCGCGCTTCCGCAGATCCGGCACGGAATTCGCAAGTTTAAGTACAAAAGTAGTGTGTGAAGCGCGCTCCGGCTGCGAAATCGCAAGTTGTTCGTACAAAAGTTGTACGCGAAGTGCGCTCCCGCTGCTCCGGCTGAAAATTGGAAAGTTTTAAGTACCAACGTAGTATACACGAAGAGCATTACCAGAGGCGGCTGCGAAATCGAATTTGCAAGTACAAAATTGGTACGCGAAGTGCACTCCCGCAGCTCCGCCAGAAAATTCGTAAGTTTTAAGTGCAAAAGTAGCACGTGAAGCTTTCACAGAGCTCTGCCTGCAAAATCGCAAATTTATGTACAAAAGTACGTGAAGAGCTTTCAGAGAGCTCCGGCTGCAAAAGTGGTGCGCGAAGCGCGTTCCCATAGCTCCGGCCAAAGTTGTATGCGAAGCGCATTCCCGCAGCAGCTCCGCGAAGGTTGTAAGTGTCTACGCGCAAAGGTAGCGTGCGAAGCGCGGTCTTGCAGCTCCAGCATGAACATCGCAACTTCAAATTTTTAGCGCGAAAGTAATGTTCGGAAAGTGCGCTCTCGCATCTCAGGCTCGAAAATCTCAACTTGCAAGCGCAAAAGTAGTATCTTTGCATTCTGCAACTAAAACCGCCAGCCTTCTTGCGCAGCCAAACTGCACGCAGATATGGCCAAGAGAGGCTGACAAGAGAAAGGGACATGAAAGGTTGGGCGAGAGAGGTTGCTCAACATCATGCGCGAGAGGGACCGTCACGCATAGCATCATGCGCAGCATCACGCACGGCGTCGTGCGCAACGTCAGGCGCAGCATCATGTGCACCATCATGCCTGCGCAGCATCATGCGCAACATCACGCGTGGCTTCACGCGCAGCAGCGTCAAAACACAGCGTAGCACGCAAGAGAAGTTGACAGGAGAGCTTTTCCGAAGCGCGGCGCCAAGCTTGCTCATAACTTGCAGCAGAAGAAAGGACATTGCTGTGTTTACGCTTGTTTCTCACCTGCAGTGTGAGAGGTGTCAGAGTATATTTAACATCTTTCTATGCTTCTGGGCTCCCGTCGTCAAATTAAACCCAATACTATTTGGGGTCGCTTGCCGCGATAGTTGTTTTCGTATTTCGACACAACTTGAAGCTTCATCTAGGGGCGAATACCCCATAATATCTGTGACTTTTGTACTTGCCATGTTTTTACTTGGATATTGCTTTCTTGGACATCCACGCTGCAGACATGGACGCCCGTGCTGAGAAAAAGCTATCGGTTACCCTGTGATGGGCACCCCATTTGGCAACATACCCATCTATGGGTTTGGAATGGCATCCTTTCATGTCCGGAGCAAGTGGCCGCAGAGAGTCTGCTGGTGGGGCCCGCCAGGAGTTTCCTTTAGCGGACTCTGTGACAATTTTGGATTTCCGGCGAAATTGAAAAGACAAAAAAGGTCAACGTTCCGCTGATGGGTACCGTTATGCAGCTCGTTTGTCAGGGTTGCTCAGTTGCGCGGCGCAGAGCCAAACCGCCCGTAGGGCGGGCATTGCCGGGTGTTGCACAGCAACTGTACCAGGGTGGCTACGCAAGCTGAAGGAAGTATGGCAATGTTTGGGGGGTTTCCTCGGCCGGGCGGCCACTCGTGCAGGTGACCGGGCGTTGCGGGAGGAGCCGGTCGAGGCGATGGTTTTGCTAGTGAAATAATGACTGTGCGAGCGTATGTCAGCACACCCTAAGCCCATTCCAAACCCGCCCCACACCGCCACCTTTTCAATGGGCCTGGCTGCAGCCAACTTTGCTCAACTAGTGACCCCCATGCAAACATCCCCACTTGAGAGAAGGTTGATCGGGGGAGACGGGCGGGCATGACTCCGCGTGTCAACGGCGTTTTAGCCTTTGTCCGTGCAATTGGAGTAGTAGGTAATGGAAGGGCCTCCCAGCCATCCCCTTGGAGGTGGGAGGCTATGCTTCCAAACAAACCGGGGTGTGTTTGGGCCAATTTCGCCGAACCCCAAAGCATCATTTGGTCTGCCTGAGGAGGGCCGTTGCCGGATTCCAGCCATGTTTGAGGCAAGCTGGAAACAGCAGCAACAAGAAACCAGATGAGTCTGATGACTCAACATTTTCCGTTTGCTGAAGTTGCGAGACATAGTAGATTCCTGGGCCCGGCCTCGGAACCCGGATCCTGCCTTACAGCGAAAGCACTAGACATGGCTCATGCTCGGGTACATGGCCATGGGGTGCCAATTCTTACGACCCAAGGTCCGCAAAAAGGCATAAGTCTTTGGTCGAAATACGCATGTGATGTGGTTGGAGGCACATCGTGGGGGTTCCACTAGGGCCATGACCATCTAAGTTCACGAGAACACCCCTCAAACTGGGCCGGTTCTCAAGATGTGGCTGTCCTTTGAAGAAGCTTGATGCCACAGGTTAGGTCCATGAACATGCTCCTGAACCATATAGAAGTGGTTCCTTGCAACCATTTGGCGGTTTTGTACCTATGGGGAAGCTAACTTACTAGGCTTCGTCATAATCATCCCGATGCAGAAGCTCCAGGCGGGTGGCGGCGGACCCACTCCGTGCGCTTCGGCTTCGGCGTCCGCTTCCGCTTCTGCTTCCGCTTCGGTGGGCCGGGACGAGGAGGGGCTTTGGGGGTGAAAACAGCCAGCCGACCCGATTGTTCCATGGTTTTTGTTTTTGTTCTCTTGAGCAATCTGGATGTCTGTTTGCCTCGTGCTGGGTTTCTCCACGCTCATTTTTTCCCTGAAAGGGGGCGCGTTTTTAGAGACATCCCGACACCCAGTTTGGCGCACGGCGTTGGGTGTGCCATAGATGGTTGTCTTGAGTTGCCCACTGGCATAGTGTATAGGTGAAAGCGCGCATGGGGTTGGGGTCGGTTTTATCTTGCAAGATTAACCAGGGTTGCTCCGAGCTAAGCAAGTTTCGTTCTTGCAAGCCCCATAAGCTAGAACATAAACCTTCAAGACGCGCACATCTGGGTGTTCTTCAAAGCGATTAACTTTTTCTGGCTTCACATGGCTTGCCCTCAAAAGGGGGTCTGAAAAATGACACTGTATGTTTTTCAACCTCAGACACTTCAGGTGGGTTTCCTTGTTTCGATGTGAAGCCATCCAAAATCCAAGGGGCCAGGCCCATTTGGCGGCTCAAACGAAACGGGCCTTCAGTCGAAGACCGTCGGGTTGAAAGAACCGAAGGGCGTCCAAGTTGGTGGGAGGACTAGATGGCGCCCTCCCAAGAAGCGTCCCTTTCCGTCGCGCCCAGTGGACTGGGGTGAAAGATTTTGGACGGTTTCTGGGGGTGGTGAAAGTCGGAAAGTGGTTGGTTATGGTTTGTTTCATTTTAACCCACTTGGGGGAT